TAGGGATACACACACTGGCACAAAGATACACACATTGACACACAGATAATCACACTGACACATATTCAGAAACACACAGTGGCACATATACACAGATACCACACTGACACACAGAAACACACACTGGGACATACACACAGATACACAAACTGACACACGGATACACACACTGACATACAGATACACACACTGACATGCACACACTGTGATACACACACTGGTACATACACACAGATACACACGCTGACACACAGATACACACACTGACACATATACAGATACACACACTGGCACATACACACAGATACACACACAATTTGACACACATAGACACATACATGTTAGAATTTTTTTTATTGGCATCTACCCTCTTGTTAACATAACTTTTGTGTTCAGGAGGCTGGCTTGTTTGGAGTGCTGGTGATGCTGGCTGAGGCTGATGAGAGTGAGCATTCAGCAGCTCATTCCAGCCTCTCCTCGGCCTCCATGCTGCTGGTCAGTGCTGCTGCCTCCAGCCTTTCTCGTTCTCACGCAGCGCTTTGTGAAACTGAGAGAAAGTGATCAAGCTCTTAAAGGGCCACACATCCAACCAAGCCCCTGTTCAGAGATAAATAAAAAATACCCTTTGGGTGTCCCACAACTCATAAACAATATCCTGGAAATTACACACACAATCTGACATAATGTTTGTCAGATTGTGTGTGTGTGTGATTTCTGGGATATTGTATATGATTTGTAGGTGTCAGGTAGCCACATTGAAAATATTTAATCTCCGGGTGAGTCGGGATGTCTTATTTTCTGAAACCTTGAGCTAACAGAGCTCTTATGGAAAAAAAAGTGCTTTCTCCCCTGTGAATCTGAGACTGACTTCCATAAAAGTCTCTCGCACTCATGTTTAAATACTGACAAATCCTCTTTATCTCCAGCTTGTACTTGTTGGTATATTTTGGACACTGACTCCTTTCCATCAGTACTCCCAAAACACTGATCCTCAAACCACCTATGTTCTTGAAATTCAACCAATCAGTGCTCTGTGTCATTTTACACAGCGTGGAAAAATTCCAAAGAACTTTCCCACGCTGTGTAAAATGACTAGCACTCTGGTTGAATTCCAAGTCAACCAATCAGAGTGTTCTGGGTCAAATTGCAGGGCGTGGGAAGGCTTTATAAGCCTTTCCCCGCCCTGCAGAGCTCAGTTTGCGTCGTGCCCTCGCCGGGTGAAGATGGATTAATGTTTAGCGCCAGGTTTTTTTCTTTTTCCTCAGATTTTATTTTTGCGCTCAGGTTTTTTTTATTTTATACAAGTTCGATGGGTATTATGGTTTTTATTTGGCCTTTTTTTGAGGCTTAAAAATTAAGATTTTAGAAAAAAGAAGACATCAAATAGTACGTTTTATTTTTTTACAGGTAGTTAGTTCTTTTATTCCCCCCTCACTATTTTTAAAGTGAAGGGGGTAGGTAGGGGATTATTTTTTATTTGGGTGGGAGGGGTGACTAGGGGCTTGGGGACCCCTAGTCACCTTGGAAGGGGGGGAGGGCAATAATCCCATACCTACCCCCCCTCATTTTAGTTTATGGCCGCCACCCACCGGTCAGGGGTGGGGGCCGGGGGGAAAGACAATAGGTCCACTAAATAAAATGAAATCTAAAAATGCAAAGATGTGTTGGAGATATAACAGTGAAGTGGGCTCTAGGCACATTTGGTGGGATTGTGCAATGGTTAGACCCTTATCGAAAAGGGATTGTGCAATGGTTAGACCCTTATCGATTGATTCAGGAAGATATGAATTTTTATTATATGACCACTCTTTTTCATTTCAATCTATATGAAATGCCAGCAACTTGCTGATAGCAGACTAATGCAGTTATTAGTGCAGTTATTAGAAACAGAGAGAGGTTGCAATAATGAGACAGAAAAGCATGTGCGTCAATATTTAATTTATTTGTTTTAATTCATTTGTTAATTTAACGAAAACCCGTGCAGCAGGACTATCTATTTATGTATATTCAGTTCAATTTTCTATTGATTATAGACAGGGCCGGACTGGCCCGCCGTCGGCCCCGGTCTCATTAAGCTGCGCGCTGGGGCGAGGGAGCAGAGACAGAACAGCCAGCTCCCCCTGTGGACGCCAAAAGAGCTCCCTCTGCGGCCGCCAGAAGAGCCAGCTCCCCCACGCAGCCGCTATCAGACTGAGCTCCCCATGCGGCCGCCAGCACACAGGTAGCAATTATGTGTGAGTGTATGTGTATGTGTCTGTGTCATGGTGTGTGTGTGTCTGTCTGTGTCATTGTGTGTGTGTGTCTGTCTGTCATGGTGTGTGTGTGTCTGTCTGTCATGGTGTGTGTGTGTGTGTGTCGGTCTGTGTCATGGTGTGTGTGTGTCGCTCTGTGTCATGGCATGTGTGTGTCTCTGTCATTGTGTGTGTATTTCTGTCTGTGTCATTGTGTGTGTCTCTGTGTCATTGTGTGTGTGTGTGTCTCTGTCTGTCATGGTGTGTGTGTCTGTCTGTGTCATTGAGTGTGTGTCTCTGTCTGTCATGGTGTGTGTCTGTCTCTCTGTGTCATTGTGTGTGTGTCTCTGTCATGGTGTGTGTGCATGTCTGTGTCATTGTGTGTGTCTCTGTGTCGTTGTGTGTGTGTCTCTGTCTGTCATGGTGTATGTGTCTGTCTGTGTCATGGTGTGTGTGTCTGTGTCATCGTGTGTGTCTGTCTGTGTCATCGTGTGTGTGTCTCTGTCATGGTGTGTCTGTCTGTGTCATGGTGTGTGTGTCTCAGTCATGGTGTGTCTGGCTGTGTCATGGTATGTGTGTGTCTCTGTCTGTGTCATGCAATGTGTGTCTGTGTAATGCAATGTGTGTCTGTGTCATTGTGTGTGTGTGTCTGTCTGTGTCATGGTGTGTGTGTGTGTGTGTTTCTGTCTGTCGTGGTGTGTGTGTCTGCGTCATTGTTTGTTTGTGTCTGTCATGTAATGTGTGTCTGTCTGTGTCACGGTCTGTCTCTGTCATGGTGTGTGTGTGTGTGTTTGTCATGGTGTGTGTCTGTCTGTGTCATGTAATGTGTGTCTGTCTGTGTCACGGTGTGTGTGTATGTCTGTGTCACGGTCTCTCTGTGTCGTGGTGTGTGTCTGTGTGTCATGGTGTGTGTATCTGTCTGTGTCATGTAATGTATGTCTGTGTCACGGTGTGTGTGGCTGTGTCACGGTCTGTTTGTGTTATGGTGTGTGTGTGTGTGTCAAGGTATGTGTGTCTTTTTAAAGGTGTGTGTCTGTCATGGTGTGTGTGTGTGTCTGTCATGGTGTGTGTGTGTCTGTCATGGTGTGTGTGTCTGTCATGGTGTGTGTGTGTCTGTCATCATGTGTCTGTGTTTCTGTCTGTGTCACGGTGTGTGTTTCTGTCTGTGTCACAGTGTGTGTGTGTCTGTGTCACGGTCTGTCTGTGTCATGGTGTGTGTCTGTCATGGTATGTGTGTGTGTATGTGTGTTTTTACTCACCTTTTTTTTCCCCCACATCGTGCTGGTCTCCCCTCGACTGGCCCTGCCTCTATGGTTGAGATCATCAAGCTTGATGATCTCAGCCAATCCGCACTGACACAGGAAGCACCTCTAGTGACTGTCTGAGTGTCTGTCACTAGGAAGCAATGTAAACACTTTGTTTTCTCTAAAAAGTCAGTGTTTACATTGAAAAGCCTGCAGGGACAGGCTATAGACACCAGAACCACTACATTAAGCTGTGTGTGTGTGCATGGCTGCTAGTGAGTGGGCTTGCTTTTGTGTGTGTGTGTGTGTGTGTGTGTGCCTGCTACTGAGTGAGCTTGTGTTTTTATGTCAATGACCTTATGTATATCAGTGAGATTGTTTGTCTATGAGGTTGTGTATCAATCAGCTTGTGTCAGTGAGATTGTCTGTGTCTGCATGTGAGTATGCTTACTGTATCATTAAAAATTTTACTCTGAAAGGACCAGTATTTTATATTGGAAAAAGCAATATATATATATATATATATATATATATATCTTTCTTTATCAATCATCTAGGGTGGCAAGACATAGCCTTACATATTGCTGGTTTGACTCAATGCACATCTTGTTGCATGTATGGATGCCTGGATGTACCCGTCCAGGGTCCATACCTCTGTGATGGTTATGTGCGAGTGGCTTCTCTGGAAGCTCAGATTGGAGATCTCGAGAAGCAAATCGCAACTTTGAGGGAGATTGACAATCTTGAGAGGAGTCTGCTGCTCACTGAGCAGAGTTTAGGGGGGACAGGTAGTGGAGAGGGAGGAGATAAGACAGATGGGGAACAGGCATGTAGCTGGGTGACAGTGGGGTGAGGAAGCAGGGTGGGAGGGAAGAAGAAAGGGCTAGCTAGTCCTGATTTGGTGCAACCTAGCAGATTTCCCCGTTTGAGGGAAGATGTTGGGAGCATCAGCTCAGAAGTAGCTGTATTAGAGGAAGCTGTTACTTCTAACAGCCGAGCTAACTGCCCCCCTAGTACGGGTGGGGATCAAAATGTAAGGAAGGCAAGACAGGTTGTGGTGGTAGGGGACTCTATCATTAGGAGAGCAGATAGGGCAATCTCCCACTCTTATTGGCTCAACCGGACTGTTTGCTGTCTCCCGGGTGCTCAGGTACGGCATGTTACTGACAGAGTGGATGGATTATTGGGAGGGGCAGGGGATGACCCAGCAGTCATGGTCCATGTTGGTACCAATGACAAAGTAAGAGGAAGATGGAAGGTCCTAAAGAATGATTTCAGGGAATTAGGTAGCAAACTTAAGAAAAGGACCTCCAAGGTGGTATTCTCTGAGATATTACCTGTGCCACGCGCTACAGTGGAAAGGCAGCGGGAGATTGGAGAGGTCAATGCGTGGCTTAAGTCTTGGTGCAGGAAGGAGGGTTTTGGGTTTTTAGAGCACTGGGCCAACTTTGCGATTGGGTACAACCTTTATAGTAGTGATGGATTGCACCTAAACGGGAGAGGGTCTCCAGTGCTGGGGGATAGGATGGCTAGAAGGTTGGAGAAATTTTAAACTAGTAGTAGGGGGAGAGGGTCATAGCAATCTACAAAATGGAGATAGGACAGAAAGGAGATGGGCTTTAGCACAGTATAAGGGGGGTGGAGATGGTGGGAGGGGCAAGCTCAGAACAGAGAAGCTATGTAATGTTGATAATTCCCAAAATATACAAGTGACGCATGATATTAAATGTATGCTTACTAATGCAAGGAGCCTAAATAACAAAATGGGGGAACTAGAGGCATTAGCATACACTAAACAATATGATATAATAGGCATAACTGAGACATGGTGGGATGAGACACATGACTGGGCAGTTGACTTAAATGGGTACATGTTATTTAGGAAGGATAGGAAAAACAAGAAGGGTGGTGGGGTATGTTTGTATGTCAACCATGATTTAAAGCCAAATCTTAAGCAAATGGAATGCGATGAGGAAAATGTGGAAGCTTTATGGGTAAATATCTGCTTGGGGGAAAAGAAGGGAAACCAACTATTGGTTGGGATATGTTATAAACCACCTAATGTTAATATTGACGAGGAACAACAGCTGTTTGAGCAAATTGACAAAGCTGCAAATCTGGGTAACACTTTAATTATTGGAGATTTTAATTACCCGGACATAAATTGGGACAGAGGGACTAGTAGCTCAGCAAAGGGAATTAGGTTTTTAAACTTGTTAAATGACACCTTCATGTCACAACTTGTACAAGCACCAACTAGAATGGACGCTTGTCTGGACCTGGTTTTAACAAACAACGTTGATCTTTTGACCAACATTCAAGTAGGTGAGCACTTGGGAAATAGTGATCATAATATAGTGTCCTTTGAAATAAACTAAAAAAAAAAAAAAAGCACATGAGGTATACTAAAACATATAATTTTAAAAAGGCCAATTTCAATAAGTTAAGGGAAGCTTTACAATATATTTACTGGCATAAACTCTTTAGTGAAAAGAACACTGAGGATAAATGGATCATCTTCCAACAAATATTAGAAAGGTACATTTCTCAGTATGTACCATTGGGAAATAAATATAAAAGAAACAAATTAAAACCAATGTGGCTTAGTAGAGAAGTAAAACAAGAGATTAAAAATAAGAAAAGGGCATTTAAATCGGACAAATCAGATGCATCTTATAAAAGATATAAGGAAGCAAATAATGCGTGCAAAAAGGCAATTAGACATGCTAAACTTCAAAATGAAAAAATCATAGCTAAAGAGAGCAAAACCAACCCCAAAGGATTTTTTAAGTACATAAATTCTAAAAAAAAAGCAAAAATTAAAGTGTATGTTCACTAAAAACTGAAACGGGTGTGTTAGTTAATGAAGACCAGGAAAAGGCAGGAATTTTAAATAACTATTTCTCCTCCGTATATATTAAGGAAGAACCCATGGCAATAGATGTGCAAATGATTGCTAGTAAAAACTTGCAGAATAATTGTAATTGGTTAACTCAAGACAAGGTGCTGCAGCAACTAAAGAAAGTTAATATAAACAAAGCTCCAGGGCCTGACGGTATCCATCCACGTGTACTTAAGGAACTAAGTGTAGAAATAAGTGAACCTCTGTTTTTAATCTTTCAAGATTATTTTCTTTCAGGAAGTGTTCCGCAGGATTGTAGGAAGGCAGATGTGGTTCCTATATTCAAAAAGGGTTCAAAATCCTTGCCTGGAAATTATAGACCTGTTAGGTTAACTTATGTGACTGGTAAAATATTTGAAAGGTTATTAAGGGATAATATTCAAGAATTCCTTGAGAAGAACATGGTTATTAGCAAAAATCAGCACGGTTTTATGAAGCACAGGTTATGTCAAACTAACTTGATTGCGTTCTACGAAGAAATAAGTAGAAGTATAGATCAGGGTTTTGCAGTGGATGTGATCTATTTGGATTTTGCCAAGGCATTTGATACAGTTCCACACAATAGATTAGTGTTCAAACTCCAGGAAATCGGTCTTGATGAAAATGCTTGTTCTTGGGTAGAACATTGGCTTAAAAATAGAGTACAAGGAGTTGTCATTAATGGTAAATTTTCAAGCTGGACAGAGGTGGCAAGTGGTGTCCCTCAGGGGTCTGTTCTGGGACCCCTTCTATTTAACATGTTTATAAATGATCTTGAAGACAGCATTGGAAGTCATGTTTCACTGTTTGCAGATGACACAAAACTTTTTAAAATAATACAATGTGAGCAAGATATTACTTTGCTGCAGAGGGATTTAGATAGACTGGGGGACTGGTCACTCAAATGGCAGATGAAATTTAATGTTGAAAAATGCAAGGTTATGCACTTCGGCATAAAGAATACACAAGCAACGTATACCCTTAATGGAAGCGAATTAGGGATAACAACACACAAAAAGGACTTGGGAATTGTTATAGACAACAAACTATGCAACAATGTGCAATGTCAATCAGTTGTGGCCAAGGCCAGTAAGGCATTGTCATGCATGAAAAAGGGCATTCATTCTCGGGACGAGAATATAATTTGGCCTCTTTAGAAATCACTGGTAAGTCCACATATTGAATATGCTGTGCAATTTTGGGCACCTGTTCTAAAGAAGAATATTATGGCACTAGAAAAAGTGCAGAGGCAGGCTACAAAATTAAATAAAGGAATGGAACATATCAGCTATGAAGAAAGGTTAACAAATTTAAACCTATTTAGTTTAGAAAAACGTCGCCTGAGAGGGGATATGATAACATTATACAAATATATTCGTGGGCCAATACAAACCATTATGTGGAAATCTATTCACAAACCGGACTTTACATAGGACACGAGGCCATGCGTTTAGACTGGAAGAAAGAAGATTTCGTCGTAAGGCAAAGGAAAGGTTTTTTTACTGTAAGATCAGGATGTGTAATTCTCTGCCTGAAGAAGTGGTTTTATCAGAGTCCATACAGATGTTCAAACAGCTACTAGATGCATACTTGCAAAAACAGAATATTCAAGGATATAATCTTTCAATGTAGGGTAAAATCTGCTTGATCCAAGGATAAATCTGACTGGCATTCTGGGGTCAAGAAGGAATTTTTTTCCTAGCTTGTTGCAAAATTGTGCTTCAAACTGTTTTTTTTTTGCCTTCTTTTGGATCAACAGCAAAAAAAAAAAAAATGTGAGGAAGGCTGAACTTGATGGACGCAAGTCTCTTTTCAGCTATGTAACTATATTACATGCGACAATATATGGCAATATATGGCGCAATGACTTATGGGGCTGGCATAGATTTTTTTTTCCAGGTCTGCTTTGGAATCCCCAGTCCGGCCCTGATTATAGATAGGACTAAATACTTTATTTATTCCAATTAAACTGCGCATTTCCAATGATTGTGAAGTTAGACATCAAAAATGGCAGCTCAAGCACATGGGGCTGCATGTTAGCAGAGGTTTTTTTTTCCTGGTGATTCTTGGCTTGATTTTCGTTTGTAATTTTGTTTACTGAGAGGATCAAACTTCTTTCGTTCTGTAGTGGAAGGTGCCCAGTAGCTTCTCAGGCTTGTTTTACACTTGTGCCCTGTGACAGACATGATCTGCCTGCTCTCCAGCCCTGCTTCTGAATGGGAATTGATGCGTAAGAAATTAGTCCTACATACAAGAGCGTTTTAATGACAAAAACTTGACAAACGTCTTGAAATACATCATCTGAACAATGTTTCGAAGTGTGGTAACTGTAGTATAAGCGGAATAATTGACTCCAGGCCATTGAATTATTAGAAAAAATAATGCACACCCAAGGTGTAACGGCCACTCCACTTCGCATCGTGACCACATTACCACCTCGGGTGTGCCTTATTTTTCTAATAATTCAACGGCCTGTCGTCAATTATTCCTTACTTAAAATGTATCAATAGTGACATTGTAACAGTGTTATCTGTTATAAAACCACACCTTACACGTACATATCTTTTTAAACACAAAAACAATTATGAACGCTAACTTTGGCCAGTGTTTGTGACTAAGTGCCTTCTAAAAAAGATTGAACATACCCCAATTACTCAATACCTTGGGTTCTCTTCTTTTGCAAATGGTATGCCATCATGGGGGTAATTCATATTCCTGGGCTACCATACACTCTCAAAGGAAACATAACCAATCCGGCAAATTTCAATGTGAAAAAACTGAAAATCAAGACTTTTATTTGACCCTGTAACTTTCAAAAACACTATAAAAACTGTACATGGGGTGTACTGTTATACGTGGGATACTTCACTAAACACAAATATTAGTGTTTCAAAACAGAAACCCAGATATTGATACAAATTGCTATAGCAGTTTTAAATGACTTTATTTTAGAAAGATTTGATTTAACTATATTTACTATATGCGGGCACTATACTGAAATGCAGACAATCGTTTTACATTCTGTTGCCATTTTTAATCAGCTGTACTGCTAGCAATGCCTTCAGGATCCTTACAAATACTAATATATGCAAGCTTTTTTGACTGTATATTTGTTTTGTCACACCTTATGTGAAAAGATTTGCATGTTTGCTTTTATACTAACATTTCTATTCTGTGTGAAATATTGCAACATAAAGGACTCTGTGTATACTGTGTAAAGCTTTTAATTTCCCAAATATTTTTTTTAAAAGGATGAACGAATAAGTGAAAAATAAACAAATTGTGTAAATTTACATATTTTAAATTTTTAAGTTTGTCTGCAAAGCAATCTGTACACAAATATATATGTTTACATGCTAGTTATACATTCCTTGCTTCAAATAATAATAATTCTAGCCCCTCTTATATCTCCTCACAGATGCATAGGTATGCCCCTTCTCGGTCTCTCCGCTCTGCCCGTGACCTTCTCCTGTCCGCTGCTTGCACCTGTACGGCCAACTCACGCTTGCAGGACTTCTTGCGGGCGGCTCCCTTCCTATGGAATAGCCTGCCTACCGCCATCAGACTCTCCCCTAGTCTTCAAACATTTTAGAAGTACCTTAAAACTAATTTCTTTAGGAAAGCTTATGGCCTCCCAGACTAACTTCTACCTTATTTGATTGCTATTTCCTTTTGTAATGTGTTTTATACCCCACCTATCGACTGTAAGCTCTTTTGAGCAGGGCCCTCTTCAACCTATTGTTCCTGTAAGTTTTCTTGTAACTGTCCGATTTATAGTTAAATCCCCCCTCGATATAATATTGTAGAGCGCCACGGAATCTGTTGGCGCTATATAAATGGCGATAATAATAATAAGAAAGAAATATAACGCTAATATTTTTTTTTTTTAAAAGTGCTTGCAAGTGAATGGGCTAAATAGTCACTATACACATTTGACTCCAAGGCAATTATGATTTAACATCTTCACTTTTAAAAATCTGTGCATAAAACATTCATTTGTTTAAAACATTCAAATTCATTTTATTTGCTACTCTTAGGACAGTGATGAAATGGAACATGAAACAAATCATTATTTAAAAAAAAAAAAAATATTAAAAAAGCCCAAGGTGGAAACAATTTATTGGAAAAGAAAACATGTTTTAATTGTGATATATACAGATATGTTTTTACAACAACAAGGAATTAAAATTAAAAAATGCTCATATAAAATTAAAAATCATTTTTTTTTACAATATTTACAAACATGTTGGTATTTGATTTAGCTTTGATCATTCACTTAGTGCTAGTCAGCTTTTGCATATTGCATGCAATATTACAAACACGTATCGGACAAATTTAACAAATGCTACTTTTACATTTTAATACCAAAACAGGGTTTTCAATCATATGTGTCCATAACTGGATATTTGTGTTAAATATTAGTCCTTGAAGTTCAGATGGCTCAGTAGCACATTCCTTTGAAATGTATTGCATACCAATATGGCATTCAGATTACTAAAGAAAACCTTTGCGGGCTGGATTATATCTGTATTAAATGTTGATTTCAAACATTTTATAGTCTGCTGGAGAATTTAGAGAAATAAGTGCTAAATATTTTACAAGCAATGCCTGAAGGTCCCTTTATCCAGAATTCCAGTTATGCCAATCCGACTTGCCAAAAGGATATTACGTTTCCAAAATTTTCCTAATATTCTATTTTTTTTTTTCCAGAAAAGGGAAGATAATATTCTAACATTTAAACCAAATTAAAAAAATACAGAAAGCAATACAGGGTCATCTTGGCAAATTATCATTTTGGATTACAAATGGAAAGATTATATATGCAGGAAAAAGTGCATTTAATACAACACAAATGTTTGAGAAATATAAAAAAGTTAATATTCATCAATTGTTCCAACCCATTGATCGCAACACAAAAATCTGTATTTATAAACCAAACAAAAGTATGCATATTCAATTTTAAAAAAGGTTTTATTTATAAATCATCTCTATGGAGGATATTTGAGCAAAGTGGGATAATCATGGTGGAACTAAATGTGTGGCACTTAAAACTCACAAGTTGTTGTTTTGTTTTTGTTTGTTTTTTAAATTTGAGGTCAAGGTAACCTAACTGCAAAAATTCTACAAGTTGACTATAATTTCAGTTCAGCTACTTTGGCCTTAAATGTGAAATTCACTTTGAATTATTTATAAATTCTCAGTTTAATGACTAACCATGCCATATTGTCTAAACATTCCCCTTTTGCCTGTATACAAATCATCTCCAAATAGGACCTATGTTTGGTGGCTCAGGACTCAGAAAAACACTGATATATGAGGGAAAAAAGTATTTGATCCCCTGCTGATTTTGAACGTTTGCCCACTGACAAAGAAATGATCAGTCTATAATTTTAATGTTAGGTGTATTTTAACAGTGAGAGATAGAATAATAAAAAAAAAAATCCAGAAAAATGCATGTCAAAAAAAAGTTATAAATTGATTTGCATGTCAATGAGCAAAGTAAGTATTTGATCCCCTATCAATCAGCAAGATTTCTGGCTCCCAAGTGTCTTTTATACAGGTAACGAGCTGAGTTTAGGAGCACTCTCTTAAAGGGAGTGCTCCTAATCTCCGCTCGTTACCTGTATAAAAGACACCTGTCCTCAGAAGCAGTTAATCAGATTTCAAACTCTCCACCATGGCTAAGACCAAAGAGCTGTCCAAGGATGTCAGGGACGAGATTATAGACCTACACAAAGCTGGAATGGGCTACAAGACCATCGCCAAGCAGTTTGGTGAGAAGGTGACAACAGTTGGTGCGATTATTCTCAAATGGAAGAAACAGAAAATAACTGTCAGTCTCCCTCGGTCTGGTGCTTCATGCAAGATCTCACCTCTTGGAGTTTCAATGATCAGAAGAACAGTGAAGAATCAGCCCAGAACTACACGGGATGATCTTGTTAATGATCTCAAGGCAGCTGGGACCATAGTCACCAAGAAAACAATTGGTAGCACACTACGCTGTGAATGACTGAAATCCTGCAGTGCCTGCAAGATCCCCCTGCTCAAGAAAGCACATGTACTGGCCTGTCTGAAGATTGCCAATGAACATCTGAATGATTCAGAGGAGAACTGAGTGAAAGTGTTGTGGTCAGATGAGACCAAAATCCAGCTCTTTGGCATCAACTCAACTCGCCGTGTTTGGAGGACGAGGAATGCTGCCTATGACACAGGAACACTTTCCCCACCGTCAAACATGGAGGTAGAAACATTATGCTTTGGGGGTGTTTTTATGCTAAAGGGACAGGACAACTGCGCCACATCAAAGGGAGGATGGACGGGGCCATGCACTGTCAAATCGTGGGTGAGAAACTCCTTCCCTCAGCCAGGGCATTGAAAATGGGTTATGGATGGGTATTCCAGCATGACAATGACCCAAAACACACAGCCAAGGCAACTAAGGAGTGGTTCAAGAAGAAGCACATTAAGGTCCTTGAATGGCCTAGCCAGTCTCCAGACCTTAATCCCATTTCAAATTTGTGGAGGGAGCTGAAGGTTCGAGTTGCCAAACGTCAGCCTCGAAACCTTAATGACTTGGAGAGGATCTGCAAAGAGGAGTGGGACAAAATCTCTCCTGAGATGTGTGCAAACCTGGTGGCCAACTACAAGAAATGTCTGACCTCTGTGATTGCCAACAAGGGTTTTGCCACCAAGTACTAAGTCGAAGGGGTCAAATACTTATTTCACTTATTGACATGCAAATCAATTTACAATTTTTTTGACATGCGTTTTTCTGGATTTTTTTTGTTTGTTATTCTGTCTGTCACTGTTAAAATACACCTACCATTAAAATTATAGACTGATCATTTCTTTGTCAGTGGGCAAACGTTCAAAATCAGCAGGGGATCAAATACTTTTTTCCATCACTATATGTGTTAATAATAGTCCAGTATCAACAAAGACATCTACTCTGACCTTAACTTTGAAATTCACCTTCAATTCACTTTGAATTTTTCACTTTAGTGAATAATCCTGTAAATTATCAAATAAAATACATTAAAGTACAACATGCTATAAGAGCACACTCAGAAGAACTAAAATGAGAAAGGGATAACATGACAGTGGGCTTGATTCTGTAAAGAATGCTTTACACCCACAATTAAAAATCTTATTGGGGGGCATTCAATAACCCAATTCATCTCATTATTTTTACGTGAAAATTGCTTAAACACCCTCTAAAAGCTCAGCACATGGATAACACATTATGAATATACTGGTCATTCCCACATTTTATTACAATACACACAGATATATTGATGATCTTCTACTAATGGTGAAGGAAAGGAGTCTCTCTCTCTCCCTCATCTGATGCAAACAACATAATAGATCATAATATTATGAGGGTCTCCTAGTGACACGAATGGCCAAAGGAGTTGTCACAACCCATGCAAAGTAAGCAAATAGCAGTTCCTACCACTCCTATTAAGGAGGGAGACTCCTCGAATACTATCTATCATTCACAGTGTAGAAAGGAAACCTGTACTATTTCTTGGTCAGGGATGTATACAAATTAAAAAGCTTTAAAGTTTAAGATTAGACTATTCAATAGTCTGCCATTTTGGCTAGAATGTAATGTAGATGTTATATTACATGTTATTTTTAATAAGGCTTAGCAGCCTTCCCTGTGGGATAACAACCACACAGGAAGTCTAACACATTTGTCCCTCACTGTTGCCACTGTATTTCCACAATCATATCAGTCTGGTCACTGCCACTGGAAATTCTAAGCCCTGATATCAGCATTCATAAACCTGGTGTGTTCAGTTGTCCTTCAGGAAAGAAAAACCAAGGACCCATAAGCTTGTCCAGAATACATTTAAATGTAAATGACTTAGTATATACAATACATATTATTACAGATTGCTGGGACTGTCTCATTATTTTCCAGGACTCTATTACTCACCAATGAATTTCTTTTTCTAAATAAGTAAACAGTGTATGTATGCTAGCAATAAATCCATGGTACGGAGCAATACAGCATATTCTATTTTGGGTTCTGTACACAGTCTGCCAGAAATGTTTTGACAAATAAGGATCTTGCTGGCTGATTATTACGGTCTATTATAAATGAATAAGGCATGCCAATGAATGACATACGTGTTAGCCTTCTAATGATAACCGTAAGACAAACAAATAAACTGTCATACACAATTCTTATTATGCCGACATTATGCAAAATAACATTCACATTAACTCTCTAGTACGAGTTATACTATAACAAGTTTAAAAGCACTGCAGTGCACTATACACATATACAGGGTGGACCACACTTCAAGTCAATACTTTTTTAACAAACTTATTTCAGCGATATTTCATACACAGAATGCATCATGTATGGAGATTTGTTTGACTAGGTGCAGTATGTTCATAACATTAGTTAATGCTTAAGGACCTAAGGCTTTAATTTGTGCACAGATATTCTCTATGAGCTGCTCAAGTTTACGTGGTTTGTTTACATACACACGCTCCTTCAGATATTCCCACAGGAAGTAATCAGGAGGTGAAAGGTCGGTGAACGTTGGGGCTTATATTGAAGAGGCAGCAAGCTCTTAGCTTCAAAATAATGGATCTGCCATTTTGAAAATCAAATTCCATTATTTTTACCCGTTTCTTCATGAAATTACCCATGATGAGTTTCCCAAGACTCAGTTAAAATATGAACCTGCAATAAACATTTTTTAACTACTAACAGATTTACCTGTCAAATTCTACTCAGAATTTTGGCCCACACTGTATGTCACAGTTCCTGTAGCGTTTAGACGTAAAAAAATAAATAAATAAAGACCTTAATGAATCAAAACATCTGTACAAATTAAGAAATTGTGCTGCAACAACATTTTATTTCTTCCTAGAAGTTTTATTACCAGTTGTTGCAGAACTACATATGGATGCTTTGCCATTCTTGTTCTACAACAGCTACAGATATAACCTCTGTTCAATCCTGGTTTACAGTGTTTTTGTTCAAACAGGCCAAAAGTTTACATTTTAAAAAAAGTCTAGTTCATCTGAACTAAATAATGAACAACATTCTTTAATATTAAGTACTTACAGTCCTTTCTTTGCTTTGCTGTTTGTTCAGTGCTTTACTTTGTTAGGTTCCATAATATTGGCTCAACTTTCAATGTTGCAAGTTATCAGATTCCAAAGCAACACAATATGCATGGATTCTGGACATTCACAAAGCCATCTGTTTATCTCTGAGCCACAATCACTAAGTGGATTCTATAGTCACCAAAACAACTTTAGCTTAATTAAGCAGCTTTGGTGTATAGACCATGCCACTGCAGTCTCACTGCTCAATTCTCTGTCATTTAGGCATTAAATTGCTTTGTTTATGCAAACCTAGGCACACTTCCCTGCATGTGACTTAACACTTCCTGTAAAGAGTCATCTAATGTTTACACTTCTTGTATTGTAAATTCTGTTTAATTTAGAATGTCTTATCTCCTTCTCTATTAACAGCTTGATAGACCCTACAGGAGCCTCATGTATGTAATTAAAGTTCAATCTACGGAGCAGGAGATAAAAAAACTTTTAAAGTAAGTTAACATCTAATTGAAAGTTACACCATTTTATTTTCATGCAGACTGTGTCAGTCAGAGCCAGGAGAGCTGTGACAAAGGTTGTATAAACAGAAACAAAAGTGATTTAACTCCTAAATGGCAGTGAACTGAGCAGTGAAACTTCAGAGATATGATCTATACACCAAAACTGCTTCATTAAGTTAACGTTGTTTTAATGACTATAGTGCTCCTTTAATACTTGTGGAACATAATGAGGTTTATTCACAAAATAGTGGATTGTATGAACTGAAAAACTGAAAACTGACTTGCAAAACTTATAACTTGCAAAAAATACCCCCTGCAATAGACACCCCTAGATTTCAAAGAGCAAACTGCCAATAAAATTGGTCTGGAATTTGGAATTTGTCACTGGCTGCAGGTTAAAAATAAATATAATTAAATAAAACGATATGTTGTGCAGGCCCCCTATTAGCCATTATAATGCCCACTGCCTATTCTCTCACACCACCTAGCAAGTTAGTGGCTCACTTATTAATCCTCACAAAGGGAATGTAGAGGACATTCTGTAGCCGGTCTCCCCTGCTCCTGAGTAGTGTGTCCAAAGGACCCATTTCATTTTATTGTGTTATTTCATATTAGTTTTAACGTGCTGGATTCCTTTTTTTTTTTTTTTTTCTAACTATTATTCAGAACAAATGTAGGATTTGTTCAGAACTTCATTCTGCAGAAATTACTAAACTAGCCATACCCATGTTGAGGCTTTCACAGATGGCAGCCAATTTGTTCCATTTTAGAGGGTTCCAAACTGAGGCTAGTTTGCGGCAATTTGGAGGATAAATGTATTAATTATCCTTAGAGTTGCACAAAATCATCCTCAGTTTGTGAATTTGTTCCTTGCAGATGTATCCTACAAACCAAATGCATCATAAAGTTACAATTTATTGATGTCTTTGTGAGCATATTACTTTCATTTACTTTGGATTACTTTGAGTTGCTCACACTTGCAAAGTACTTTGCACATTATCATTAAGAAAAGACATTCTGCTCCTTAAATTATAAAAGAGATCTGTATAATTCTTTCAAAGAGTTAGATCAGTGACTAGTGTAATTCAATTCTTAAATGTTGAATGCAGTTATTAATTAGAACAAGATTGGGGATTGCATTCATTTAAGATTATAATTGATGGCTAGTCTTAATTTAAGAAAGTAATGATCCGTTATTTTATCATCCATGAAAGGGTGTGGGAGGGGCTATAATGAGAACTCCAAAATCCCTAGACAGATACAGGGATATGCATGGTGAATACTTTTGCGCAACTTTGTAAAACTGGAGTAGTTACCATGGACACCAATGGGACTTAGCCCCAGAGTTATTATACATAAACATAACATTCTGGATCATGTTTACTGTGGGCTAGACAATCATTATAAGAGAAAAAGTTCACAGAAGCTGGGGAGCTAGGGATTGTTATCTCTGCTAATCTTCACTATAGTTTGAATGAACATAACTCACTTGAAGTTATTTGAAGTGGTCATAGTGATATGAGTGTGTACAGTGTTTCGGCTAGAAACACTGCACATGCTGAGATATTGGCAAGTGTGTGCCGGGGCTAGTTGCACTCCCGGACATATGGCTTTGACAGCCCAGAACTCCATTCCCAAACTCCATTCACAGAACTACCAAATGTCAATTCTGTGCATATAATACATCCATCAGTGCTCATCGCATGCTGACATCGGACTTATTGAGCTTCCCCTTGCCCCTTGCAGAAGCCTGGATGTCTCCTCCCTTTCTGTGTGCAGTCCTCCCAGTATACCCATTATTTAAAAAAAAAAAATGTCAGCCCTTCCTCCCCTTGCTGGCTCAGAGTGTGATCTGGTTAATTGGTCCAATCAAAGGCTTATATAGAGAACCCTTTGATTGGACCTTGCTTGGCTTGTGTGATGTCATAAGGGGGCATGGAAAGCTGGGCTGGGTCCTTTGCCCAATATTGGATTCCACATAGGTAAAACAAATTTTAAAACTAATTTCTAAAGATTGGGAGGGTGAGGGACCTAAAGAATAATGACCAATAGGACCAAACATCTGGAATAAAAGGGAATCATGACATGTCACACATGTCATGTGTCCTTAAGGGGTTAAAGGGACATTGTTAGAAGCATAAGCACTTGAACAAGTTTAAGTGATTCTGATGCCTGGAGTTCATGGGTGCTGGGTCACGCATCAATGCTAAACTGTTTACTCACTATTTAGCAGAGACCCTCTGCCTGTATCCAATTACTATATGGTGAAGACAGAGTTATACTCCATCCCAGGGACTGGGGCAATGGTAGCCTGAAAACATTAAGCTGCTGCTCTCAGCCTATCACTGTCTGTTATCAGTTACCCATTACTGGTAGACATGGTGCAGGAAATAAACACTATGGGACAGAGGTGGGGGGAAGGGGAATAACACTATGGGACAGGGGAGGGCGGGGTCTGTCTACAGTAAATATAAGAAAATAAAAACACACTACATGACACGATGAATTATACGGCTGGATTTTTTTTTTTCAGGGCTGCTTTCTGTTCCTAGTTCGGCTCTGCTGCCACTGCTCGTTTGCACGCATACACACCCTTACACAGCGCCACTGGACCGCATGGTAGTTAGTGCGCTGTGCACACACGTGATACGTGCCCTACGCGCATACTGACGTCGACATGCAGTGTGTGCCAGGTCACAGGTTACTTGGTGTAGGACTCGCCACCATTAAAGTTCGCTAGCAACCCTTAAAAATGGCAGGAGCCAAAAAAAACAATAACCTACCATTTTCATTCAGAGTAGGAGGAGGATTATTTTTTTGTTTACTCAAATTCAAAGTCCATTTGTCTCATTTGCAATCTCAGTGTGGTCATACCAAAAAAGGGCAATCTGGAGCGGCATTTCAGAACAGTACACAAAACTATGAGACAGATCTCCCTGCTAAAACTGCTCTATGCATTCATAAAGTTCGGGAATAGAAGAGTCAGCTTGCAGCACGGCAATCCATTTTTATGAGGCCCAACACCAAGGGTAAGGTGGCAACCATCGCATCATATCGAGACAGTCATGTTCTTGCTAAACATAAAAAGTCTTTCAAGGACAGCGAAGTTGTGAAAGAAGCGCTTGTTGAGGCTGCAGATGCACTCTTTGGTGATTTTAAGAACAAAACAGAGATTGTGTCCACTATTTGAGACATGCAATTATCCTGGAATTCTGTTACACTGTGACAGTTATGTGTTTTCATCAGAATGAATGAGTGCAAAGAAGATCTGCTCAGTTTTGCCATTGAAAGGATACACAAGAGGCGAAGATGTTTTCAACACTTTAATGGAGTTTGTTAATAAGAGCCAACTGGCTCTTTTCAAGCTCATCTCCATCACAACTGATGGTGCTCCAGCAATGGTAGACCACACTAGTGGGCTCATTGCATTGTGCAAACAAAGTGAATCTTTCCTGGACATCCTTAATTATCATTGTATTATTCATCAGTAAGCATTGTGTGAGAAGATTTTAAATATGAACGAAGTAATGGATGTTGCTGTTCGGACCAGGGGTCTACAGAAAAGGTTATTCAGGGCTCATTTGGAGGAGACAGGTGCAGAACACATAGACCTGCTGCTTCACACAGATGGAAGATGGCTAAGCAGAGGTACATTTTTAGGGTAGGTTCAGTGAGTTGTTGCCTGAAATCAAAGATTTTCTGAATCTTTCAAAACAAGCAGAATATGCACATCTTGAGGACTGTCAATGGCTTTTGGACTTAGCGTTCCTGACAGATCTCACTGACATGCTCAATGATTTGAATTTAGAGCTCCAGGGTCAAGATAAACATGATTAGTTCAGTGAATACATTTAAAAAAGCAAGCTGCAACTGCTTTCAAGTATGCCGCAACGCTGTGACCTGTGAAACTTTTCTCACATGCAGGCAGAACTGCAGCGTCATTGCAAAGATTCTGCACAGCTTGACAGTGCACGTTATGAGGAGAAAGTTCAGAGCATCTTGTCAGAATTTGAGAAGCATTTTACTGACTTTACATCCATTAAGCCTGTTGGTCGCTATCTGTGTTTTCCGTTAGGGGAGGGCATCGATGTGGATTACATGGCTTCCAAAGTAGCAGCACTGTTTGAACTGGATAGCTCTGCTGTTGAGAGTGAGATTCTCACACGCAAAATGACAATGAGATCAAATCCAGCGCAACACCCGGCAAGAAAGGAGCCTTCTGGAACCTGCTGCTGGAACAAAAATATCCCAACCTCAGAAGATGTGCCTTGAACTTGACTGCACTTTTTGGATCAAGTCGAAGTACAGATCCACAATGACAGACATTCACCTTGTTGCCTGCCTAAGGCTTGCAACCAGCTCCCCCCTTGTAACAATATTAAGTCCTACCTCTCCCCCCCCCCTGCATTAAAACCTGTTGGGGTCACTATGACCCCCATATTAATAAAATGGAGGTTAAATCCTCCCACATGCCCCTACTTGTGGGAGGATTTAACCTCCCTTTTATTAATATGGTGGGACCTAGCGGCGGGTGGGGACCTTAATTAAATAAATAATGTTGGGGACCTAATGTCCCCCCAGGTCCCCACCTGGTCCCATAGAAATGGGAAGGTATATTATCAGATAGGTCAAATGGTTTATGTTCTTGTCCGGAACTGACGTTTCATCCTTTGGTGCCAATTGTGCCCTAGTGGCTGCCGCTTTCAAAATAACTTTGGTCAGGGTGCATCTGGAAGATATCATGCATTCAGCAGACTGTTTCAGGGAGTCAATGTTTAGGGAATTCTACTTTAACCCAATCTGCAGTGCTTGCTCAGCTTTAAATTTGCACTATATGAGCCTCCGTGTCTTAAAATAAAATTACATGATTTAGCTATTTTGTGATGGAAAATCATGATTTTATGAAAGACAAGGAGGTGAGTATTGTCCTTTCTCTGCTTGTGTCTCTTGTCTTTGTCTCCCTCCCTTCTTGTTAGTTTGTTATTGCTGGTTGTGTGGGAGAGGTTTTCACAATGTGTCCTTGCAGTTTTACTGGAGCTGTAACTGCATTTTGGCTCATTCATATTTGCACGTTACTGTTAGTTTGCTTCTGGTGCCTGTTGCTCTGCTTTGGGTATCCACTCTATGGCTTGCTATGTGCCTGTACACTAGGATGCCTTTTTATCTGTGCCAGTTCTTGATGATTAACTTTTATTGTTTTCTCTCTCTCAGGTGTACTCATTGGACCAAGTTTGTTTTCAAGTGTCTGGCTTCCTATTTGAGCCTAGACCTATGTTTTTTCCCTCATCTTGCTCCTGTGATTTGTTTTCTTATTTTGTTCAGCGGGGACTCTTTGTTTTCTCCTGCTGCTCTTAATTGTATGGTTTGAATTTGCTTCTGTTCAAAAAGAAAGGAGTTGTTTTTTGGGGTATTAAAGCTTAAATGGACTAGGGTCAAGGGGAGGGGTGTATTTTTCTCTATTTTGTCAATGTTTTTTCTTTGCTTCTATTGTAGTAAAGAAAGAGTTAATGCACATTACTCGCCTCCATGTCTTTTATAAAATCATGACTTTCTGTCATGAAATAGCAGAATCATGTAATTAAGCCTCAGAGAAAAAGATGTGGGTGCTGTTTTTCTGCCACACACTGCTCTGTTTCGAATTGTTTTTATCACTAGCAAAATCTTTCGAAAAGAATGTTTCATTGTAAACTCCGTGCAATGAGTAAAAGATGTAAAAAAGCAAAATGTATACATTTCATACACTTTATGTAGATTGTTACACAATACTTAAAAGATTTCTCCAACAAAAAACAACAACAAACATTAATCCTGTTTTTCAGTTGTTTTAACCCTTATAGTTATAGTCCTTCCACTTTTAAATTAAAAATAAAAGAAGTCAAAAACTCACTTTCAATAATGTGCTGAAAACAGGTTGTTCCTGTTGCCTGCTGTGCCTTTACTTATATCATCCTTCTCAGTTTGCAGTCCAATGAAATGCTTCTCAGAAAGAGAAGCATTCCTGAATCTAAGTCACATGCGCAGCAGTCAAACTCACTCAAGAGAAGGGGAAGAGAGTGTAGGACGCATGGAGGAAGGGATAGTGGCTGCATTCAGCAATGTATATGTACATTACCAGCATGCTTTGTGTGCTGACAACAGACGTATTTATTCATAGAACATTAGTCAGACGGGAATAGAATTCTAGGCCTAGTGGATCACAACTGCTGGACGTGCGGTTACATCATGGGAGCTTAATAATATATTTCTGTATGTGCACCGTTTCATGCTGAAATGCTGCACATACAGAACCTTGCCCCGTCTAAACATCTGAAGTGGACATGGTGCTTTTAGTAACCCATGCCAATAATATAACACATGATTAAATCTTCCTAAGGAAAACATACCTATCTGGCAATAAATGAGGGAATTGCAACTTTTAGGAAAATATTTGGACTAATATGTACAGTTTCCGTGTCAGTTCTCCACATGATTAGTGAATAAGTTCACACTTGGGGACCTTTAGATTGTAGACACAATTTGGGAAATTAAGTGTTCTGTTCTAAAATGTGGTGTAAAAGTGGAAACCAGTGGGACCAGCAGGCACATTGCATTGGTGCCTCCCCTCCCCCCCCCCCAGATCATTGAAGTAGTCTGGGTGCAGTGGCCCAGTCCCCCTTCATCCTGCAATGTAAATCATTGCAGTTTTTGAGAAACTGCAATAATTACATTGCTGTACTAAGACTCCCTCTTGAGCTAGTCAATCAGAATGCCACTACAGGCACTTCCTCTTTGCTAGCCAGCTTTTGGTCTCCTGACACTGGACGTCCTCACACTCTGCACAAGGACATCTAGCATCTGTTAAATCCCCATAGGAAAGCACTGAAGCAATGTAAGCATGTCATACAGACTCCAACTTATTTTATTTAAAAGGAGACTGATCATTGGTCTTCTCTGGTAATATTGGAGTCATGAAGACACCCAACATGCATTTGTGTTAAGTGTTTGAAGGAGGTTTATGATGACAGCCAGCACATTTTTTTCCAGAAATGTTGTCCTGGTGTGTTGTATATTACACAGTATACTGCCCATTGGAGGAAATGTATAAGTATAAAGTACAGGCCAATGAAAAGCATAAGATGTAACCACAGGTTTTACAGGACATATTGATTATATATTAAAAGAAGTGTTGTGTTCTAAAAACTGATCTAAAGTGCTAAAGTTGGGCAGTCACCATGGATACCAGTGGAACCAGCAGGCACATTGCATTGATGACTCCTCCCCTTTCACGTGTTTGGCTCACCTTTTAGAACACACTTTTTATACATAACCTTTATTGAGTTCCTAGGGTTTCTGACAATAAGCACTGACATGCAGTAATTCCACAGAACAAGGAAGCGATCTTTGTGAAGACTATATGGATGTACAGGAATAACTGTAATGATTGGGGCTGTAATGACTGTAGTGTAACAACATTTTGTGTGCAAAGGGGTATTTGTAATATAATTATAAATAAAAAACAAATATTAGCATATTAGCCACATTGACCAGTGCACAGATTTCCAACATGTAAGCTCATTGAGCAGGGCCCTCAACCCCTCTGTTCTGGTGCATCAAACTTGTCTGGTTACAATTACATGTTTGTTCGTCCACCCATTGTAAACCGCTACAAAATTTGTTGGCGCTATATAACAATAATAATAATCTGCACATAAAATTTGCTATTAACTTCCATTGTTTATTAGGGAACACGTGATACCAAAGTAATATAATTAATAATTACCTAAGATGTTATTTAAATGAACAGTCTTTGTGGTGAGCTAATAGCAAACTTTAGGCCAGCATGGCTTAAAAACAACAACAACAAAAAACATCTTACTATTTAGTAAATAAAAAAAATCTATGTAATTTTGACATACAGGGGTTACATGTGTCCTGAGTTACAGAATACATTTCTTGGTAAACATAAATGTAGAAATAGATTATCTGCAAGTTCAGCATTGACAATACAGCTGTAGGCCTGTTTCCGTTATATTAACCAACAAAGTGACCACAGACTTGTTAAAAAGTGCATTGCAGCAAACTCTATACCTGCCTCTCTTAAATGCAAAAGGGACATTTCTTAAAATGTTCTACAATGGAAAAGTGTTGCCAAATTGTGAATGCTTCCACTTTTGGAATTTTGTCCCATTTTTCTATTAACAAATATCAACATTGAACACTGTAATAAAATAATTGGGGTTTCGGACAAATCATTCATATTTTACTTCAGCCTGCCTCCTTAGCCACACCCCCTCAAAAAAAAATACTTCCTTATCAAAACATATGCACACAGCTAATCACTGACAGCACCGAGTGATCTGAACTACAAAGCAACCTGCATTAGAAAGAAATGGACACCCAGGGAGACCCATAGTAAGGATATCACTACATGCGTTTTGTTTCCCTGACTGTCTGCAGTCAGTTTTGAAATTATGAATTTAAAGCCGCTCACTCAGTGCTGTTGGGGCTAAGTCTGGGTACCTTTAATAAGGAAGTCTTTCTGGAGTAAGGGGAGTGGCTACGGAAGCAGGCTTAGGAAGCAGCATTCTGCAAAACTTACTTTTTTTTAATGCAAAATCTATATATTTGACAAAAAATGACGGCAAAGATCTATCAAATGCATCAACATTATATTGGTGCCTGGCGTGTCTCTTTACAATGTTATACAGTATAAGAACCCTAGTCTAAATGCAGTTTTAACTGCTAGTTTTGCAAGGAGGTACATAAGTTGCCAAGTTGTGTTTACAATATTTAAAGTGACATTGAATTTGCCAATTTAAGGAATAATTTTTGTACAGCGAAGGACATCCCTAGTTGGACTCAATGTATTTACTAAATGTCAAATGTGCTGATTGAAAACATAAGGAAAGAAATGAAAAATTAAGTGAAGGAATTGTGTATTTTGCAGATTGGAATTATTTAACTAATTAATTTGTTTTAAAATAAAAGGAAAGAGCTGTTTTGTTTTTTTCTAGCATACAGAATCAAATCCTAAAATGTATCCGTAAAAGCCTTTATGCAAATTTGTGTTTAAGCCAATAATAAATATTTTATGCAAAGTTATATATTCTACCAAAATACAACATCATAGGGAAAATGTTAAAGGAACACTATAGTCACCTAAATTACTTTAGCTTAATAAAGCAGTTTTAGTGTATAGATCATTCCCCTGCAATTTCACTGCTCAATTCACGGTCATTTAGGAGTTAAATCACTTTGTTTCTGTTTATGCAGCCCTAGCCACACCTCCTCTGGCTATGATTGACAGAGCCTGCATGAAAAAAACAAAAAAAACAAACTGGTTTCACTTTCAAACAGATGTAATTTACCTTAAATAATTGTATCTCAATCTCTAAATTGAACTTTAATCACATACAGGAGGCTCTTGCAGGGTCTAGCAAGCTATTAACATAGCAGGGGATAAGAAAATCTTAATTAAACAGAACTTGCAATAAAGAAAGCCTAAATAGGGCTCTCTTTACAGGAAGTGTTTATGGAAGGCTGTGCAAGTCACATGCAGGGAGGTGTGACTAGGGTTCAGAAACAAAGGGATTTAACTCCTAAATGGCAGAGGATTGAGCAGTGAGGCTGCAGGGGCATGTTCTATACACCAAAACTGCTTCATTAAGCTAAAGTTGTTCAGGTGACTATAGTGTCCCTTTAACACAATGAAGATTACTCAAATATAGAATTGGAGTGAATTAAAAACCAAATAACAAAATGGTTGCTAAAATAGCCAAGCTGTGATTACAGTAAAGTAGGAGTATTTTTTTTTCCAAATTAGCTACTTTGGCGTAAACTTTGCTGTCTGGTAAACAATTCACCATTAATTGTTTAGTGAATAAAGCCCTCTATTTCCTCAGCTTGGATTTGGTAACCTGGATTTGTTAAGCTGGTTATTAGGTTATCAACGTTTACAGTTTAGTAGTTAAACTAGACAATCAGATGGTGATCAACACTCATGGTGAGGCAGAATACTACACACACTATACAAATTCATAATATAGCAATTCACTTACCTAAGCAATATACACGTTATAAGATTGCTTCTGCATGTGTCAAATCTAAAATTTAAATTGCTGTCAGTATGTATAACATTGATACCAGCCTGATTGATCAAATTAGGGTTTTCCAGCTTCAGAAGCGAATGGTTGTTGTAGTCCAAAAGCATTAAGAGGGCTGCAGATTGCCGAATCCCTCCACATATGTAAAACAACAACCGTTGTGCTTTCATATTGTAAAATATTAATCATTCCAAAAAAGAACATATCCTTTGCACCAATGTAGTCACAGTCAGCATTTCAGAATCAAACACATTACAAATATATAAAAACAAAGGAAGAGAATCATTTGGCACAAATATTATATCCCTGTTGTCTGTTCTAAGTTACGAGGCAGTGGTCTTCCATCTGTGTCTCTAAAAAAAAAAACCCATCATCACATTCACAAGCTACATACTTTTTCACACTTCTCTATTAATTTGTTAAACCTAATTAGTGTTACATGGCAGCTCCCCGTAGCACAGTATGGAACATCACTGCCGTACAGCCATACTTATGCCACTAGAGGGCCACATTGACACTTCTGCAAGGTGCTTATTCCTGCAGCATTATAGAAAATTGATTGCACCTTGCTCTTAACTGAGGCACGTAAGGTGCTGTGCAGTTTATTAGTGCAACAGCTTGCCAATCAAAAGCTACTCCACTTACAATAGATGAATCTCCTTCTAAAACTGTTCAGTGCATTAAATACACTGTTATTTCGTGATCTTCAGCACGCCATACTACATCACCAGAGAAATGACCTGGTGTACAGTTCTTCTTGATTTCTTCAAGAATCCCAGCCTAATCATCAATTATCTGCCCTCAGAAGACTTAATCTCCAACTGGAAAGCTTTCTTGTCAGATGTTCGGACTCTCGTGATTGAGTTTTACAGAGTAGCAAGGACTCGTGAAAAGGATATAATCACTGTCAGCACTGTCTGTCCAACTCCAAACACCAATGCTTCAAGAGGGGCCATGTTTTTTCCGGCCACTTGGTAAATTCCCGCAACAGCTGCACCTAGAAAAGTTAATTTTGTTAAAATTATAAAAAAAAAATGAATAGCAGAAAATAACAATAATCCCTATTAAAGGGACACTCCACACACTTAAAGTACTTTAGATTGCTGTAATGCTTTATGTGTGAAGAGGTTTTTTTTTTTTAGTTGTTTCTTTTTTTAAATTTTGCAGAAAGGGCAGTTTTCAATAGAAAGTGGCACTTTTATAAATTAACCTTGTTACACCCCTCCTGGCTGTCAATCAAACAATCGTCATATTAATTCCTGGTTTGGTTAGCTCAGTGTAGCTAAACTCAAGAGGCAGCAATTGCCTAGAGCAGCTGCTTTGCAAAGACTTCTCATTGAGCTGCATTGGGAAGTCTGTGATTGGACAGCCACAGAAAGTCTGGGCGAGGTTAGAATGGGAGGGCTTGCAAAGGCAGTAAACATGAGACCTGTAGGTGTTGCAGGGTGTTAATAGTTAAACCCTGAATGGAAAAATGCATAATTAAATGCATGCATGTTTTCATTTGGGTTATATGTGCTAAATTGTAAAAAAAAAATCTGTGGATTTCAGATTACAATTCTGTTAAGGAGGATTTTAATTAATCATATACATTACATTTTCTGTAAAATCAAGGGGCTGTAATCTGCTAAACGTGTATATATTTAAAACGTCTGTGTTGAAAACACTCTGTTCATAGGAGCACCACCATGCCCTTAGACTGTCATTCAAAAGGCAAGGTTAGGATTAGAGCGGGATTATGGTTCGAGTACTATTTTAGGGTTGAGAGTTGGAGTGCAGTAGTCTTAGTCAACAGGGGTTTCCTGCTGTAAAACAACTGTGGATTGTAATGCTGGTTACTGTCAGCCAGGAGCAGCATTTTTTTAGAGGAAAGGAGTTAAAGTTTGCCGCAGCTTCAATACAGGTACATCTAACTTAAAGTTCCTCTTGACCCTTAGCTATAACCTACTTAATCTCAAAACACCCCTTAACCCTTACTTTCCTACCCGTAAGACTCCATAAGCAGTGTACTGCAAGGGGTGTGTACTGCTGGATTATGGCATTGGGAAATGAAATGTACCCAGTTATGTAAATGATGCTTGGCATTACAAAAATGCAATGATAATTAAGCTCTTTTATGTTACTTACAGCATTATTGCAGAACTGTAAACACTCATCACAGAATTCAGCCCCAGGATTGAAAATAAACTTCTGTAAACATGTGTCAGTTACTAAAATCAGAATCTAATTTCCAACGATTGTATAGCTACATCTTCAGCCATGGTAAATAACAGATATGTATAATTCCAGAGTAGATGCAGAGATACCCAATGTTTTCCTTGGTTTGGAGCAAACACTGTACATTCTGTCTGAATC